TTTGGCTACAATATTCCTAGGAGTTTTCCTTTGGGGATCTCTTTCAGGAGGAGATCGGTGGATTCATTCAATTTCTATTTTGCCCTCTGGTTCTAAAACATCAGGACAGTTTTCCTTGATAATTTCTTGAAAGATGATGTCTAGGCTCTTTTTTTGTCATGGCTTTCAGATAGTCCAACAATTTTTAAATTCTCTCTCCTGGATCTATTTTCCAGGTCAGTTGTTTTTCCATTGAGATATTTCATATTGTTTTCTAATTTTTCATTCTTTTGGATTTGTTTTACAGTGTCTTGATTTCTCATAAAGTCACTAGCTTCCAATTGCTCTATTCTAATTTTTAAGGAAGTATTTTCTTCAGTAAGCTTTTGGACTTCCTTTTCCATTTGGCCAATTTTGCTTTTTAGGGCATTCTTCTCCTCATTGGCTTTTTGGACTCTTTTGCCATTTGGGTTAGGCTATTTTTTAAGGTGTTATTTTCTTCAGTATTTTTTGGGGTCTCCTTTAGCAAGCTGTTGACTTGTTTTTCATAATTTTCTTGCATCACTCTCAGTTTTTCCTCTACTTCTCTTACTTGCTTCTCAAAATCCCTTTTGAGCTCTTCCAAGGTCTGGGACTGATTCATATTCTTCTTGGAGGCTTTGGATGTAGGAGCTTTGGCTTTGTTGTCTTCTTCTGGTTGTATGTTTCGATCTTCTTTGTCACCAAAGTAAGATAATATAGTCTGACTCTTTTTGTGCTGCTTACTTGTGATCCTGGCCAATTACTTGAGTTTTAAACTCTTTGTTAAGGTAAAAGTCTGCTTCCAATGTGAAGAGTGTACTGTCCCAAGCTTTGGGGGTTTGTACAGCTGTTTTCAGAGGTACTTCTAGGGACCTGTGAATTTTCAGTTCTTCTAAGGTGGTATGATAACGGGCGAGGTATTTCATCTCCACCACCACAACAAGCTCCACCACACCAGCGCTCCTCCTTGCCCCAGAACCGCCCCTCAGAACTGTGACCCAGATCCAAGCACTGGTAAAGCAAGAGATTCCTGCCTCAGCACTGGCAAAGAGAACCCTGCAATCACCCTCTGATCAGCTGCTCAATT